TCATCGACGAGGAAGAGTGATGTTTTGAGGCGTTGGTTAAGGTAAAGAGCGAGGAGCATGACCAAAGAAGCGACGGAGGAGAAGAAAACGACGGTGCCGAGGATGTGAATGTATCGGACAGTGATCGGTTGTTTCTTCATGCGTACGTTCAGTTCTTTGACAAAGGCTGTGATCTTTTGCTTCTTCATTCTTTTTTGTAAAAGTTGTATATATTAATTCTACTCTTGGTTCTTTGGCTTGCTCTACGTACGTGCTTCAAGTCCTCTAATTTTGTGTGAATATATATAGTGCATGAGAATTTATGTTTGTTGGTGACTGTTAGTATATTTTAAAATAAGATGACCATTTTGGCCGCAAAGTAAGCCTATAAAGGGATCGGAAGTTCTACAATTATTATGGGTTAAATCGATTCTGTTCAAAACCTAAGATCATGTATGATGGACGTGCATGGTGTGAGGAATTAAATGTGCATGAGAATTATGGGTTCAGTGAAACGTGATTTAGTCAAGTGAAAAAGAGAAGAAGAACATGAATTTTGCGGCAATGTTAAATTATTGTTATGTTAAACAAAAGTGAAATAGAAGATTAACAAAAGAAACCATGCGTTATATCTTTTTAGCTCATAAGTATTTTCCTTGCGTCTAGTCTAGACATGCACCAAGCCCCACGAGCGTAGCAATTAAAAAGGTGAAACTCTCGACTTAGATACATTAAATAAATATTCTGTCTGGTTATGACTATTCTATTGAATTTCGGCAATAAACTCGCAACCCACAGAATTTGGTATTAGTAGTTTTAAATAATTTTTGGTACGAAACCAGTTTTGTGGTTATGAGATTTGAAAATGATACGAAACATAACTTCAAATAGATGCTTCCACGCAACAAAAAATGATGCACATATTGTTATTTTTTTGGATAAAATGTAAATGTTACAAAGTTAAGAAAAATGAATATTTAGAACTACAAGCATTAAAACATGAAAATTTGGAAAGAAAAAAAAAACATGAAAATTTGAAACACTTTTTTTGTAAGGAACCAAAACTTTCTGATCAAATAGAATCGGATAATGAATCAAAGGATAATTGGCAGGACTACAAAAGTTAAAAGGCCTTTTACGTATTCAAGCCCAAAAGGCTTTTCATGTACTTAACAAGTTAGCTGTATCCGAATCTCCTGCGTAATTTTACCAATCTTCTTCCTCTCTCTCACCTTCTTGTTGACTCTTGAAGCGATCCACCATCATCAACAACGCGATTTCTCTGGGTAAGTCTGGCGATTTCTTCTGATTTTCCTGGGATTTTTTTATAATGGTTTTTTCCTGCGAGATTTCTTCCTCTTAGGGTTTTGCTATGCATAGATGATGAATGAGACCCTTGAAATATTGGGGGAGATGATTGTGTGTCTGCAATCTGAAATTGCTGCGAAGTTTCTGTTTGTTATGAAGCTCGATGATAGGCTCTTTCAATTACTAACTTGAGTTGTTGAATCTGGATTTTTTTTTTGCAGAACAATCCGTTACTTTACCTGAAAGTTGAGAGATTTAACTTGAGCTTGTTTTAAAGCAAGATACTTTTAGAGATGCCGCGGGACTTGTCAAGATCGAGGTCACCGTCTCCATCACCTTCACGCCGCAGAAAGCAGCATTCGAGGTCTCCTGTAAGGCATAGGCATAGCAGAAGGAGTAGAAGAGACAGAAGCCGTTCTCCATACTCGTCATATTCGTATAGCAGGTGATACCCGTAATAATTCTAAGCTAGTCGTTTCCTTTAGCTAATTGGTTTATCCTCGATGTAAGAAACTAAGAAAGATTAGTGGAATAGTGTTATGTATCTTGCTGGCTACTTACCTGTCAACTGCATTATTTAGCTAAATTTTACAGAGTTAAGCTCTACGCATCTCATCTTTCTCTACTGCTCCTACTTATTTGTATTTCTTCTCCAAAAGAGAGTGCTCTATCTCGATGCTAAAGGCTCTATCGCATTAATTTTTTTGAGTGATGGTCTTTTCGGAAACATATCTTAATTTACTAAATTGTTGTTAAAGTTTTGGCTGGAATGCGTATATTTTATTACCCGAGCTTTGCGATTTAGGGAAAGGCTGCCTGTATATTCAGTAAAGGAAGAATTTTTAGTTGGGATAGCATTACTGGTTTGTCTGGGATTTTCTAGTGATATATCTAGATGGCATGATTATATGTTAAAATCATTTTAAGTCTTGTTGATGGTTGTCTTTGCGGTTTCTGAGCAATTGTTATGATGCTCTTTTGAAATGGAAATTGTTAACAATAAAGAGACAAAACCACCATATTTTCCTAAGTAAGATGATATAATAATCTGTTGAGAAACATGACTGAGAAATTAGGAAGAGGATGCATGTTCTTGCCATTATATTAAAAGCTCAATTTCTCCCCGTTCTATGGGAGGGAAGTGAGCAGGTGATGGATTGCTGTTGGGTGTTCTTTCATTGATCCCTTATCACATTAGCTTCTTCATGTGGTAAAAGTTGGAGCTGATAATTCTTAACAGTGTATGAGGTAACTGCACATACTTTATGTTTTCGTTATATGAAGTTGTGGGCTACCTGATGCCTAGTCTATATATGTGTGCTAGTTCATCAGTTACAGCTTTTGCTTACTGCTTTATTTTGGGAGTTGTGCAGACGAAAAAGTCGTTCTATTTCTCCTAGGCGCCATCGGAGTCGATCTGTTACTCCTAAGAGACGTTCTCCAACACCAAAACGCTACAAAAGACAAAAGAGTAGGAGCTCTTCTCCATCTCCGGCAAAAAGATATCCTACTCCAGCCCTTGAGTCAGCTAAACATAGGAATGAAGAAAACCTAAAAAGAGAAGAGGAAGAGCGGAGAAGGTAAATCAATTCAAATTTTTTAACTGGAATGGATGTTGTGCTCAAGATAAGGTTTTGTGTTCTCAAATGTTATTCTAGTGTAATGTTGAAGTGCTTGATTACTAGTCTTAAAGGTGCTACAGGTTTCACGGCATTTTCTCACAGGCTTCGCTTAAGGAAGATAGGCTATAATTCAACTTTTTCATATTTGATCCTCTGGCACATATGTTTGTATTATCTCGATATCATGTGTTCTGAGAGTCATTTACATGGATCGTGATTGAGTTAGAGATATATATGGTAAAATCACAAGAATCGCTTAGTGAAAGTTTGTTTGTGCCTATGGTGATGTAAAAATATCCTTCATGAAATTTACCCTTGGCGTTGAGAGAAGGGAAAAGGAAACAATCTCAACAATTTTTCTTGGACTTGGAATAAATTTTTGGTTCTTTTTCTGTTCAAGATTGAAGACATCAAGATATGAGAAAGTCCAGGTGATATTTAAGGTTCTGAATCTGCTGTGACTGTCTTCTAACTATTAACTATATTTGCTACCAGGCGACAGCGGGAAGCAGAACTGAAGCTAATAGAGGAAGAAACTATGAAACGGGTTGAAGAAGCTATTCTAAAAAAGGTTGAAGAAAGCTTACAGTCTGAGAAAATCAAAATGGAAATTCTAGAACTGTTGGAGGAAGGACGAAAGAGACTTAATGAAGAAGTCGCGGCTCAACTTGAGAAGGAGAAGGAGGCTTCTATTATCGACTCTAAAGAAAAAGAGGTAATGATCCCAGAAAGAATATTGCCCTTCTCAATTCTAAATTATTACTTGTCTAAAAGGCTTCAGATGTTGATGGACTTAATAAAATGGTCTTATCTTACTGAATTTCACAATGGATTATCTACTCTTCATGTGACTTCACTTCTAGAGTTGAGTGACCGCAAGAAAACAAGGAAAATTGCCATTTCTAAGAGCTACTTTATAATCCTAGTTTTCTTGGTGAGACTGTGGGGCATTTCTTCATTTTAATAAATTGATGATGCTCTTGCAAATACCTTGTTATAGAATGACATGGTCCGGTAAAATCTTTGCGCATGGCCTTTTTTCAATGTATTCAAATTGCTTACTACATTGGTATTACAAATCTGACTATCTTGGAGCATTGTTGAAAAATGAGTCTTTTTTCAGGGTGTTATGAGGTGTTTGTCGCA